GCATTGTTTGTCTCAGGTGGAGAAACTCAACGCCCTAGGCTATAGGGCACTTCTACTTTTGGCAAAGCCACAAAAAAATGGGTGGAAGAATTCACTGATACACCCAATGTGGAGCCTGGGTGAACCAGCAACAAAATACCTGGACCGAATAAAATCCCTGTTTGGCGTTATAATTGACAGTAAGTTACTTTTTTTATGCCAACTTTAAAACTAATACATAAATTGTATTGAAATATACGTTCATAGAAGATATGCTTTGCACAAAACTTCATCAGGAGACTTCATCAAGGCTTTTTTGTTTCCTCTTTTAATTTTCATGTGACCCAAATTTTACATTAATAAAATAATGTATTTACAGATGTGTATTTATAGCGGAGTTTTATATAAAGAATGATAAAAAATGTTTTAACCTCAAATATTATTAACCGTGAGTGTAATCACAGTGAAAGACAGATGGAGGTCACATCCATTCTGCCTGTTCTTACTTACATTTTTCAGTTTTGCTTTTCTTCAGCCTTTTACTGCTACAGGATTGTAGTTTTGAGAATCTTGGTCTGCAAAACTTCAGTTTTGATAAATTTGGTATCCCTTTTTAACTCTAGACATTTAAGTAGCGGCAGTGATGGAGTACATATGCGAAAAAAACATAGTATTTTTTTTGTGTTTGTCTAGATTGGACCAGCAGTCCACCACCCTCTAGAGCAGGGGTCGGCAACGTTTGTGACATGGAGTGCCAGTTTGAAATTTTCTTCTCATCTAGTGTGCCATTACCATCGATAAACGCAAAGTTAAAATATGACACAAAATACATAAACATTTCCAATATACCTGGAATTTTTTTCTCAACAATAACAGTATCTATTCAAAATAATTTAGCCACATCAACATTTCAAAGACTGAAAAAACAGCTAGTGTAGCATATAACAATATTAAGTCCAGTAAACTGTATTTGGGCTCAGACCAGAAGCTAAGATTCGGTTCACAGAGGGAGAGGTGTTTAAAATCACAGACAACAAAGACAGTGGTATGGTCCAGATGTGAATTATGTTCAAAGATAGATATTTAGGGGTGCAACGGTTTGAAAAAAAAATCACGGTTCGGATCGTACCTCGGTTCAGAGGCCACGGTTCGGTTCATTTTTCCAAAAAAAAAGTTTTGTCTATTTAATAAACACGGCTCCTGTGGACTCAACACCTGCAGGAGGATCAGTGAGGGACTGGTGCTCTGTGAACTGGGTGCAGCTCTGACTGCCACCCCCCTGACTTAGAAATGGATTAAGGGGAAGGAAATGGATGGATGGATGGAAGGCATATTCCATCCATCCAATTATGTCTTAACATAATTAATGAAAAACAACACAAAGTGCAACATAAGAAGGCACTTTATGAGGGTATTTACCCTCACACATTAAACCACCTGATTCTCCCGAGGAGGCGCTCCATTCTGGGCCCAGCCTCATTCACTGCATTTATTTAATTTTTGGCATTATCAGTTGTGACTGGGATATTAGTACTGGGCCTTTGTCTTCCATTCCTCCACTGCTGTGTCAGTACCTGCGCTGTGTGCCTGTGTGACTGTCGTAGAGGGGGCGTGTCTGCAGTGCCAGACTTTTCATCTCCCAGTCTGCGGTGATGAAGTGAGCGGTTATCGTAACATCTCATGGATCAACCGCTCATGGATCTATTATACTGTATGTTCCGCGGGACGTCCAAGCGTCAGTCGTGAGCGCAGCTGAGGATGTGCGGGAGAGTTGATCAATCGTACTTACTCTTTTAAAATGATTTGCGGACTTTACGTCCGCCATCTTGGATTCCTCTCACTGCTGCATGAGAGAAGCTTGAGAAGGCAGTGCAAACCCCACGTAACACCGGCAATCCTGATTGGTCGATTAAAAAATAATCTGGGGAAGGCGTACGCTATGGCGTCGATACCAGACCCATGTGGTTCAGCCAAACGCCTCTGGTGGAGCATGGCGGAACTACAAGGGTCTGGCAGAGCCAGGCAAGAACCTTTGCACCTCTAATAGATATTTACAAAGGCAGGGGATAGATTACACACACACACACCCCACATTCACAATATTTACAAAATATAATTGAACGGGTTTTGAGTTGAGTTGGGTTTGGCAGGTTGGTTTGAAAAGCTGGAGCGTGTACTTTGCAGTAATCCAGTTCAGGTTATTGTCTCAGTTTGTGGTGGTGTGTGGGGGAGCAAAGACTGCTCGCCTCCTACCACACTGTAGGGTTGACAATCTCTAGGTTTTCGGCCTGGGGCAGCTCGCCATCAGAAGATGTCCATATGGACGGACGGATCCAAGGAACCTGGCCTGCATGACAGGACCAATATAAATATCCAACAGTTTCATTTAGCAATATATCACTACTACAAAAATACATGTACAATAAATATATACTCAATAATAAGAGAGCTCCTTCTCACTTCATAATTCACCATTAATCATCTGCACCATTAATCACAATGCAATTAATTCAGTTCAGTGCACATATCAAAAATATACAGTGGGGCAAAAAAGTATTTAGTCAGCCACCGATTGTGCAAGTTCTCCCACTTAAAATAATGACAGAGGTCTGTAATGTTCATCATAGGTTCACTTCAACTGTGAGAGACAGAATGTGAAAAAAAAGATTTTTAAAGAATTTATTTGTAAATGATGGTTGAAAATAAGTATTTGGTCACTTCAAACAAGGAAGATCTCTGGCTCTCACAGACCTGTATGTAGCATATATGGGTTGTATGCTTTATGTTACCCACAAGCACAATACTGATCTTTGGCTAGTACCAGAAGCTAGATGCGTCTCACAAGAGAGAGAGGTGTTTATAAAGACAGAGACAGTGGTACAGTGCAAAAATGTGAATTATATTGCGGAAAGATATATATACAAAAGACTGGGGATATATACAAACATATATACAATATACACAATATGTACAATGAATGTAGAGTGTAAAGTTGAGTCCATATAACCAGCGTGTTGCTGTAATCAAATGTCTATTAAGTGTCCACTTTGTGAGGAGTGGAGGTGTTGTGTGGGTGAGCAAAAGGCTGCTCGCCTCCTACCGCACTGTGGGACAGTCTGGGTCTAGGCTTTGGGCCTGGGGCAGCTCGCCATCGACAAGGGGACCACTGGACTGGAGGGACCAATGGAAGGAATGGATGGATGGATAGAACCTGGCCTGTTACGAACAGGACCAGCATTAGTCACATCTCATAATTCAAATAAGCAATAGGTCATTACAAAAACAAAGTCTCATATACATGTATATTAAATAATCAAGAGTACTCATCACAATGCACCATAAACAATAATGCACAGGTCACATTAGCTTATCTTGTGCACACAATCAAATATATCAATGCATTTAACACTTTGCTGAGGTGCACATTAAAATACATCAATACACATTATCACAATCATACTACTAGGCCTAGGCACAGACACAGAAAAACATACATCAAAGAGAAAAGTCAGTAATGCAGCAGAGACTAGCTCTAGCTACTAGCTCCGTGCAGAATCAAACAATCTGACTCACCAGTTCCTCTGTAGAACAGTGCAAACAGTGTGACAACCGCGTCAAAGATAGTGTAGGAGGCGCCTGTAGTGAAAGCATATCAGTTACAATCCGTAGATTATGAAACGAAGTTAGATCGCGGACAATTACCTGCAGCCTGCTCGGATCCGAACTTTCCCCACAGCAACACACCCGGATGTGGACAGAGCGCGCTTATTTGAGGAAATGTTGCCATGGGGACCGTGGGAACTCTCGCTCGAACTCTCGTCGGAACAACCAACTACCGCGAGATTATTTAAAAGAGACGGCAAAAAAATGACAAATGGAGAGGTGCAGAGAATGATAAAAATGACCCGGGTTACACCCTCCCCCATTTAATTCATGCGCGTCCCGCTGCATGGTCTTTCAGGCTTTGGATCTACAATAGGAACGTAACTGAGCGCTTCCGTATATACATTTGACAGGCTGTGAAACAAACTTTGTACAACGGAAATGAGTGGATTACCCAAACTAGTGTACGTGAGACGACTGGGTGGCTGGCGTTGACGCACAGGACGCCTAAGAACTGTTTCGGGTTCCGCTACATTAGAGACAGTTTCGGGTGAATTGATGGGCCCGAAGGATGGCTCAGGTTGGACGGTCGATGGATCAGCAACCTCAGTGTCTAGGGACAGTTCAGGTTCAACAGGTAAGTCATTAATAAGTATTTCTTCCTCCACAGGTACTGGCTCAAGATAGTCTTCTCCCTCTGGCACTTCCTCTTCTCCCACCAGGGATGTAGGTGGATCGGAGGTGGCAGGTTCTTCAGGTAAGTGGTTTTCAGGGTCCAGATTTTGAGCAGGTGAGTGGAGGTCAGGTAGTTCAACATCACTGAGGACTGGTTGTGCGACAGGCTCCTCAGTGTGGATGGTCAAAGGCAGTGGCTCAACGTCTCTAAAACTCTTAGTTGTGAATTTGACTGGAACCCGGACAGGACTTCCCAGGATGGCTGCTTCAGCATCCTCTCCCTCCAGAACATCAGAGCCATTAACTTGGTCACGAGTCTGGCTGCGAGTCTTTGGTCGTTGGGCCGGGGTTTCCATGGGAAGATCGTCAGAGCAAGCTGGTAGGAACCCGCAAGGCAGCAGGAGGTCTCGGTGCAGCGTGCGAGTAGGTCCATCATAATTCTCCGGCTGCACCATGTAAACAGGCAACTCTCCAGCACGCTGGATTACCTTGTACACTTCCCGCTCCCACTTGTCCTCTAGCTTGTGCTTTCCTCGCAAGCGGACATTGCGGACCAAGACTCGGTCTCCAACCTCGAGGGTAGATGGTGTGACTCTCTTGTCAAAACGTGCTTTATTTCTGGCAGCTGACTTAAGAGCATTCTCAGAAGCTATTTGGTAGCTCTCTTTGAGGCGCGACCGGAGATTCTTAACATAGTCAGAGTGAGAGACTGAGGGCTTTCCTCGGACCGCCAGACCAAAAGCCAGATTGACGGGGAGACGAGGACAACGTCCGAAGAGGAGTTCATAAGGGGTGAACCCGGTGACCTCGTTCCTTGTGCAGTTGTATGCATGGACCAATGGCTTTACATGCAACCGCCACTGTGACTTCTGCTTTGTTTTGAGAGTTCCCAGCATCGTGAGCAAAGTGCGGTTGAACCGTTCAACTGGATTACCCCGTGGGTGATACGGAGTAGTACGGCTCTTCCGGATGCCGGCAACTTCGCAAAGCTCCTTGATGAGTTTGGACTCAAAGTCCGGGCCTTGGTCTGTGTGGATGCGCTCTGGAATACCGTAGTGCACCATAAAATCATTCCAGAGGCATAAAGCTACAGTGTGAGCCTTTTGGTTGGCGGTGGGAATAGCAACTGCAAATTTAGTGAAGTGATCTGTGAGAACTAAAATGTCCTTGGTGTTACTACTGTCTGGTTCTAATGAAAGGAAGTCCATGCAGAGTAGTTCAAGTGGGCGACTGGTTTTAATGTTCACTAGCGGAGCTGCTTTCTCCACTAGTGCCTTGCGTCTCACACATCTACCACAGCTTTTGATTGTGTCCTCCACAGCGACTGCCATCCTTGGCCAAAAGAAGCGTTGACGGACCAGATCAAGCGTCCTCTCAATGCCCATGTGCCCCATGTTGTGGTGCAGGCTCTTTAAAACAGCAGGACGAAGATCTGGTGGAAGGACCAACTGTAGGAGAACCTTGTCCTCATCCTGTCTCTTCCGGTACAAAACTCCATCTTCCAACTCCAGCCTATTCCACTCTCGAAGAAGCAGTGGAAGTTCTGGCAATTCGGCTCTGGCTGTAGGGGGAACTTTCTCACCCGTTTCGAGTTGGTGAATGACCTCATGAATGGCAGGGTCAGCTCTCTGATGGTCCTGAAGCTCGGTGTGAGATAGGGATGGAATCGTGGGTAAGCCATGGAGTTCTTCATCGGTGAAGCTGTCGGGGATGATGTCGACAGTGGCAGACAGAGACTCAACCAGAGTCATCGTAGCTTGACTTGGATCTGTTCTCACAAGACAGCTCTGGCAGATGGCATCAACTATCTCTGGAGAGATCTCTTCTGCTTCACTTGACTCACATAGCTGCTGGGTCAGGTGATGAAGGGGGTCCCGTTCCGAACAGGAAGGGTCATCTGGATGTTCTCCATGAGAGCGTCGAGACAAAGCGTCCGCGTCCAAATTCTGCCGTCCAGCACGATATTGCAGTTTGAAGGAGTATGTAGAAAGTGCGGCCAACCATCTATGACTTGTGGCGTCCAGTCTTGCAGAGGTGAGTACGTAGGTGAGAGGGTTGTTGTCCGTGATTACAGTGAAGGTGGCTCCATAAAGGTAGTCATGGAATTTCTCAACAACACTCCATTTCAGGGCCAAGAATTCCAATTTATGGGCCGGATACCTCGTCTCACTCAGGGACAGCCCTCGACTGGCGTAAGCAACGACACGCAACACTCCCTCCTGCTCCTGGTAGAGCACAGCTCCCAACCCAACGGTACTAGCATCCGTGTGGAGGATGTACGGCCGCTTGGGGTCAGCGAAGCCTAAAACAGGAGCAGAAGTTAATTTTTCAATCACCATTTCAAACGCGGTCTGCTGGCGGCTGGTCCATGTTCCTTTGAATGGTTCCTTCGGATCAAGGTACATCTCTCCAGGCTTCTTCACTCGGGTAGAGCGACGGAGAGATCCATATCCACGAGTAAGCTCATTCAATGGTTTCACCATGGTTGCATAGTCTTTAATAAAGCGTCGGTAATAACTGGCAAAACCCAGAAAAGATTGCAACTCCTTAAGATTGCGAGGAACTGGCCAGGATTTCAAGGATTCAACCTTTTCTGGATCTGTGGCGACTCCATGTGCAGAAACTACATGTCCCAGGTAGCGCACAGAGGACTGAAAAAACTTACACTTGTCCGGTGAAAGCTTGAGTCCAAAGTCCTTGAGACGAGACAGTACGTGCATAAGCCGTGTCTCATGTTCCTCCAAGGTTGCTGAGAACACGATGATATCATCAATGAAGACTAGAACTTCCTTAAGGTGTAGCCCTGCCATGCAGCGCTCCATCAGCCGCTGGAACGTACTTGGGGCGTTCGTTACTCCCTGCGGCATCCTGTTCCACTCCCAGAACCCGAGTGGTGTGACAAAAGCAGTTTTGGCTTTATCCTCTTCTGCCATCTCGATCTGGTAGTATCCAGATTTTAAGTCCAGCACGGTGAACCACTTCGACCCCGTCAGAGCTGAGAAAGACTCTTCAGGGTTCGGGAGGGCGTAAGCATCTTTTACAGTCTGTATGTTCAGTTTCCTGTAATCGATGCACAGTCGAACCTCACCGTTGCGCTTCCTCACCACCACTATAGGGGATGAGAATGGCGACTCCGACTCCCGTATTACTCCAGCCACAAGCAGGTCCCGAAGATGTTTGCGGACGGCCTCCAGATCTTGGGGATGGATAGGCCTCGCTCGCTGCTTGAAGGGGGTCGGGTCATGGAGTTTGATGGTGTGTTTCACTCGGTCAGTACAGCAAAAGTCCATCTCGTAGTGAGAGAACACTTCGGGCATGGTGTTGAGTTTGCTTGTCAACCGCTCCTTCCATTCTGGTGGAACCGGCGAATCTCCGAAGTTGAACTGCACAGGGCTCCGGACCTTCGGATCTGGGGTTCTGACTTCCTGTGACAGAATGCTGGGTGACACTCCAAGGTCAGCCACAATGGTTGATGGAGGTATGCACACATCTTGTTCTGACTCATTTTTCATGATAATTGGCACTTTGTATGGAGAGTGATATGGGAGGGTGATGAGACAGCTTTGGACACACAGGCCTCCAGGAAGTGTTGATGACGGGTGCTCAATCATGGCCCACTGATCTGCAGTGGGGGCGTCCAATCGAGCGGAACCCTCCAGGACGATGGTCTGTCCTGCAGGAACGAGGACTGGAGTTTGGCTCAACAGCCGCACAGATCCTGCACTGCCCACATGGTTCTGCTGGTGCCGCATCTGCAGTAGCTTCAGGACGGCTCGATACCCCTGGGCTGTGGGCTGGAAGGTGGAGTGACAGCTGCCACAGTGGAGCTCGTACAGGGGCTCGAGGGTGTTCATTCCTATGAGCACCTGAGATGGGCACTCAGGACGGGCATCTGGGACAACCAGGGCGAGCGTTGCTACATCAACTTCAGATCCCAGGAAGTCCTTAGGGAAGGTAATGGTCAGCTCTACATATCCCAGATAGGGCACAGATTGTCCAGCTGCTCCCTCGACCTGGAGCAGCTTGTGCAATGGCTTCACAGGCTGATCACTCAGGTTTTCATTATAGAAAGACACTGGAATGGTTGTCACCTGTGATCCAGTGTCCAGAAGACAAGTAGAAGGGAGTCCTGCGATGTCCACCACAGCCGCACATTTTGACCCAATGAGGCCCTTGGGTAGTCTTGTGGCTGTTGTGGTCTCAGCTCCACTCATCTCTGCACACTTTATAGTTTTACTGTCCTTGGGACTGGATTGATCCCTCTTGGTTCCCGTTTGTCCCATAACCGGAACCTTGTTTAGTTTAAATGGTTTTTGCTGTTGGATTGTTGTTGTAAAAATAGTCTTTTCTTGCGAGCAACAAGAGCTGAATTGGGTTCGTTTGAGCACTGCGGCCGAATGTGGCCGTCTTCACCACACCGGAAGCAGTACCCGGGTTTACGGTGGGGGGTCTTTGAAAATGCAGATGGCTTGCTGTAATTTGCCTTTGGGGATGTGAAAGTCTGGGACTGGGTCTTGTTAGCAGTTAGCATGGCTAGCTGCCGCTGCACATCTGCCAGTTGTTCAGCCAGTTGCTTAGTTACGCTGGTCAAAGCAGCGACTGCTCCACCTTCTTCACTGTCCCCATATGAACTGGCACTATGCACGTGGGTGGATGCCTTCTGTCTGCCCGAACCAAGATGCTGTTTCATCCGGAGATCCTTTGCTGCACCTCGGTCCTCTTCTGTTCGAAGCAGAAGCAGAAGCTCAGAGAATGTTGGTGGGTTCAATTTCTTTTGCTTTAGTTGGAGTTCAGCTATAAGAGAATTGTCCCAACACCCACGGCAAAATTGATTAATTAGGTGCCTGTTAACATCAACGTCCATAGCTCCGCCCATCTTCACAGCTGCATTCAGTGCCACTTGGAGCCGTTGTAGATAGGAGGATGACTTCTCTCCACTGTTCTGAAAAGTATCCATGAATTTTGCGAAGAGCTCATCTCCATCTTGAACAGTACCATATGCCGAGTGTAAAATATCCATATATACTGTTGGCATAGTGTCCACACTCAGGTGCTTCACAACATCAGCTGCAGGTGGCAGGAGGCTATCCACAATCCTCCGCGAGCGGTGGAGGTCCGAGACTGACGGGTCCCTCAGTAGTAAATCCACTCCTGACCGCCATGTCTCGTAATCCGCCTCCTGCGTGGGTCTCGGCTGGCGTCCTGAAAACACTCTGAGTCTCTGATGGGATGTGTTTTCATCGCTCTTCACTATATGCTCCACCACATACCGCTGGATTCCAGGTGGGTTAACATCCAGGTTAGGGATTGGCACTCTCGCTCTTGGCTCCGATGTGGAAGGTGGTGTGATGTGTGGCTGTGTTTCTGGTTTCAGAGCTACAGGAACTGTTGCTGGTGGTTGCAGGAGTTTTCCCACAGATGGCGTTGTTGCAGCTTCAGCGCCGGTCGGTCCCCTTTCCTCCAACTCCGGATTAGAAGCGTGGAGCTTGGCTACGGACCGTCCAATCTGAGCCATTGTGGAATTCAACACTTCTGCAAAATCCAAACCTGAGGACATCGCAATATTTTGTAGCTCGGCTAAATATGACTGAGTTTTGCTCTTTGCAGTATGTTTTGCATAAACAGTAGAAAGTTCAGAAATATAATATGTTGTAGTGTCATCACTAGACTTCAATGTGTATGGAAGAGACGGTCGCAATTTGGAAATTGGCGCACAGTCAACAAACTCAAAAATAACCATTTCGTCAAATTCACTCTCCGGTTCAGATACAACATTTGTCCTATTAATCTTTCCGTACATTACCAAAAAATCTGCAACCTCTTTAATGCTGTCCGCGTCTGTATCTGATATGCCTTCAACTATTACAGAGTTTGGTATATTGATCCCCAGCTTTTGAAATACATCCATATTGTCAAAAAGTTCAATGTGTGATTTAAACAAATCCAATCTCTCCTGGCTAGCTCGCCACTTTAATTATGTAGCATATATGGGTTGTATGCTTTATGTTACCCACAGGCACAATACTGATCTTTGGCTAGTACCAGAAGCTAGATGCGTCTCACAAGAGAGAGAGGTGTTTATAAAGACAGAGACAGTGGTACAGTGCAAAAATGTGAAGTATATTGCGGAAAGATATATATACAAAAGACTGGGGATATATACAAACATATATACAATATACACAATATGTACAATGAATGTAGAGTGTAAAGTTGAGTCCATATAACCAGCGTGTTGCTGTAATCAAATGTCTATTAAGTGTCCACTTTGTGAGGAGTGGAGGTGTTGTGTGGGTGAGCAAAAGGCTGCTCGCCTCCTACCGCACTGTGGGACAGTCTGGGTCTAGGCTTTGGGCCTGGGGCAGCTCGCCATCGACAAGGGGACCACTGGACTGGAGGGACCAATGGAAGGAATGGATGGATGGATAGAACCTGGCCTGTTACGAACAGGACCAGCATTAGTCACATCTCATAATTCAAATAAGCAATAGGTCATTACAAAAACAAAGTCTCATATACATGTATATTAAATAATCAAGAGTACTCATCACAATGCACCATAAACAATAATGCACAGGTCACATTAGCTTATCTTGTGCACACAATCAAATATATCAATGCATTTAACATTTTGCTGAGGTGCACATTAAAATACATCAATACACATTATCACAATCATACTACTAGGCCTAGGCACAGACACAGAAAAACATACATCAAAGAGAAAAGTCAGTAATGCAGCAGAGACTAGCGCTAGCTACTAGCTCCGTGCAGAATCAAACAATCTGACTCACCAGTTCCTCTGTAGAACAGTGCAAACAGTGTGACAACCGCGTCAAAGATAGTGTAGGAGGCGCCTGTAGTGAAAGCATATCAGTTACAATCCGTAGATTATGAAACGAACTTAGATCGCGGACAATTACCTGCAGCCTGCTCGGATCCGAACTTTCCCCACAGCAACACACCCGGATGTGGACAGAGCGCGCTTATTTGAGGAAATGTTGCCATGGGGACCGTGGGAACTCTCGCTCGAACTCTCGTCGGAACAACCAACTACCGCGAGATTATTTAAAAGAGACGGCAAAAAAATGACAAATGGAGAGGTGCAGAGAATGATAAAAATGACCCGGGTTACATGTAACTTCTTCTTTAAGAAGCTCTTCTGTCCTACACTCGTTACCTGTATTAATGGCACCTGTTTGAACTCATCTGTATAAAAGACACCTGTCCACAGCCTCAAACAGTCAGACTCCAAACTCTACTATGGCCAAGACCAAAGAGCTGTCGAAGGACACCAGGAAAAGAATTGTAGACCTGCACCAGACTGGGAAGAGTGAATCTACAATAGGCAAGCAGCTTGGTGTGAACAAATCAACTGTGGGAGCAATTATCAGAAAATGGAAGACATACAAGACCACTGATAATCTCCCTCGATCTGGGGCTCCACCCAAGATCTCATCCTGTGGGGTCAAAATGATCATGAGAACGGTGATCAAATATCCCAGAACCACACGGGGGGACCTGGTGAATGACCTGCAGAGAGCTGGGACCAAAGTAACAAAGGTTACCATCAGTAACACACTACGGCGACAGGGAATCAAATCCTGCAGTGCCAGACGTGTCCCCTGCTGAAGCCAGTGCATGTCCAGGCCCGTCTGAAGTTTGCCAGAGAGCACATGGATAATACAGCAGAGGATTGGGAGAATGTCATGTGGTCAGATGAAACCAAAGTACAACTGTTTGGTATAAACTCAACCCGTCGTGTTTGGAGGAAGAGTTGCATCCCAAGAACACCATACCTACTGTGAAGCATGGGGGTGGAAACGTCATGCTTTGGTGCTGTTTTTCTGCTAAGGGGACAGGACGACTGATCCGTGTTAAGGAAAGAATGAATGGGGCCATGTATAGTGAGATTTTGAGCCAAAACCTCCTTCCATCAGTGAGAGCTTTGAAGATGAAACGTGGCTGGGTCTTCCAGCATGACAATGATCCCAAACACACCGCCCGGGCAACGAAGGAGTGGCTCCGTAACAAGCATTTGAAAGTCCTGGAGTGGCCTAGCCAGTCTCCAGACCTCAACCCCATTGAAAATCTGTGGAGGGAGTTGAAAGTCCGCGTTGCTCGGCGACATTCCCAAAACATGGAGGAATGGGCCAAAAGACCAGCTACTGTGTGTGCAAACCTGGTAAAGACCTTTAGTAATCGTTTGACCTCTGTTATTGCCAACAAAGGTTATATTACAAAGTATTGAGTTGAATTTTTGTTTTTGACCAAATACTTATTTTCCACCATAATTTACAAATAAATTCTTTAAAAATCCTACAATGTGAATTCCTGGATTTTTTTTCACATTCTGTCTCTCACAGTTGAAGTGTACCTATGATGAAAATTACAGACCATTATTTTAAGTGGGAGAACTTGCACAATCGGTGGCTGACTAAACACTTTTTTGCCCCACTGTATGTATTAAAGCTGCACTAACTGACTTGGAGACATTTTCGAAATTGAGCGATGAGAGCGCTCTCTCTACTCGCCCTCCCCGCACCCACGAAGCTATCGCCCCCCACTACCCCCCTCCCCCTCATGCGCGTGCTCGTTTGCTGTTGTTTACGGAGCTAGACGCCGCTCTTGTTTTGGCCCAAAAACAAATAGAAATGTCAGAAGTATGTTTGCTTGCTCATTTGAATGCATGCCCCAGTGCTAAAGTAGCATGATACGAACGTATATTTATTTGTGGTAATTGATCTGGTGACTGGTGTTTTACTATCAGAGCGGCACGCGTACGAGTGCAGGTAGGCGCAGAGGAGGCGGCCAGGGCCGAGGTCATGGGGTAGCCCGTGGAGCTCAAAGTGCTGGTGCAACACGGGGCAGGCGAGGAGCAGCAGCCAGGGGAAGAGGCCAGGTACGCAGGGATGATGTAAATGAAGAATGTTTGGATGATAACGACGCACAGCGCATTCGAGATCTGCAGGCTCGTAGGCGACTAGTTCATGAGGTACTGTTGTCAAAAATTCCCTTTGACGGACGTGTTCGAAGATGATGCAGAAGTAAGGCAAAAGATCTCCAAGTTTTACATCTGTATTTAATTTATCTTTACAATCAGATACAGAAATTCCAACAAAGAGAGCTCCTAAAACTATGCATGTCCCTCTCTGGTCCCTCTCCCTCGGCTGATTCTTCTGTTTCTGCCCAAGCCAGAGCCTTATCAGTAGATGTCCAGGAAGCAGGGGGCGTGTCGTATCAGGCAGGTCTTGGGTCCAGGGTCCGGCCTCTTCCATCTGGTCTCCAGTCCGCACCTAAAAAGAATCATTCACGCACTACCCCTCCCTAATTTCTATAGAAATATTACTTCCTTGAGATAAGGCCGGAGACTCTCTGGGTCCCCCTCCTTCTTCAAACAACTAGAAGGATTAGCAGAATCCCCCCAGATTACCTATCATTAACTCACCCATGCACTTTGGACTAACAAAGGAACATGGGGAGACCAGGTCTTTTTGCTTTAGGAAAAAGACAGTTCAAATCAGGGTCAGCCAATATTCACATCTGCATAGTGTATTTTTAAAATATACAACAGTTTCCCTCTTTTGACCTGATTAAAAAATTAGGTCACAATCCACATCGTCGTTTATCATCAATACTGGTGCTTAGTTCAGGCTCGATATCTGTGAAGAGTTAATACAGAAAGAATACAACACACAACAAACCACATTTTAACCATTCCTTCAATACTATTTTGATGACTACTGCTGTGTCATTCTGATTCTTCATCAACCTCGTCTGTAATGTATGCACTAAAACTATTCTAATCTATTTACAAATATGTTTGCATATTTGCTTTTATTGAGCCATATTCTTAAACATATGTTTTTATCGAATAAATCTCTCTATACTATGGTTTTGCTCATTTTTTCCAAATACATTTTGTTGAACCAGGAAGTGCTGTCACTTTCAATGGCTGTAAATAATTCTGATTCTAACAGTTTAGCTGCTCTATCAGAAGGATCACAATGTATGGTACCATTTTAACTCTTACTCTGAAGTTTGTTTATGAACAATGATCAAATTCTACTTTTTCTACTATTTAACATTTGCTAAAACGCTAAAATACTCATACTTCATTATTTTAAACCCTTTTAACAGTTGCTCAGTCCCCCCCAGACTAAAAGTCAACCTTTTTGTCTGCCAGACTGAACACTTAACATTTATTACATTTGTCACAGTTGTGGTTCTAGTAGTAACAATTGCATTGGCAATAGACGATTTTTCATTGGCTGGTTCTTGTTCTGCAGATCACTATTTTTATGTGTTGTATTTCAGACAATTCCAAAAACAACACAGTCGTTCTCCAATATTAAAGACATAAATCTAAATCAAGTTGCCTGGTTGCCTGAAAGGGAGCGGGAGGAAGAGAACTATTTTAAAAACGTTCTCTACGATTATATGGCTATGAAATTATTTAATAAACAAAAGCACAT